CTCAAAGCTAATATTTGTTTTTACTTTAATGAAATCTTCTAATGACAATAAAAATCTGAAATCTGTACTGAAGTCAATTCCTAATTACTACATATTTAATAAATTATATAGGTTTAGTACTAGCCCTACTTATCATTTACCTATTATCCCTCATTCTAATTATAATCTGGCCGAATAAGATAAAATTATTCCTTGGCTTAAAACTAAACAAATTTAACTAGCTCAATTCGTATTAAATAAGATGTTAAATTATTTAGATAAAAAATCTACAATCTATCAATATTTAATTAGTGATTGTAGTTGGTTATTAGAGCCTTTAAAAGGAAGCTTATCTATAAAAGTATTAAATTTTAGTATAGTTAAATATATAGTATCTGACAAGAGCTACAGAATATATAGTAATAGTACTTAATTATGCTGATGTTTCTGGTACATATTTATTTACTAATTTAATTACGAATCAGCAGTATATAGAATCTTCTATAGATTTATATAATAGATATAAAAATCATATTCTCAATAGTATTCGACCCCACCGCGTAGGTAACACTCCTTTATATAATTCCATAAACTTATATAACTTTAAAAATTTTACATGAGGTCCTATTATAACTAGTACTAATCACATAAATTCTTTTTTAAAAATAGTAATTGTTTTTATCTCAAACAGTAATATTGACTGATCAAGAAATTTATATTTTACAATCTTTTACTCAATTTTAAGCTAGAATTTATGAGCAATCTTTAATTAAAGAAATTTTACCTAGTTTAAATAATTTCATTTTCAGTGATTTTCCTATTTTTTAAATTGGAAAGAAGGTGATACTGGTCTTACTTTAAAGGAAGAAAGTGACAGATATTTAATTGCTGTTTCTAAAGATAAATCTTGTTCCATGTCTTTCAGTTTTACAAATGCAGCAGTTAGAGCGTTAGGAATACCTAAAACTACTTTAAATAAATATACTAATTACATTAATATATCCTTAGAAAGTCCAATATTAGGTAAAATATTTATATTATTAATAATAGGAAACCATTATTAGAAGGTAAATCTGAACATAGCAGAACAGCACATGACAAAATCAGTTATATAAATCTTTTCAGCTTAGAATCTGGAAAATTATATGCTTATTTAATGGATAAAACTATGTTGGGTACTTTTAAAAGTCCAAATGAAGCAGCCTTTTTATTAGACGGGAAGAAAGACTCTAAATATATATCCAGAGATATCAATCTAGAGCGTCCAGTAATTGTAATTCCAGACATAATTCCTGTGTACTTTCCCATGCATCCTGTTTGGAAAATTAATAAGTATGGCATAATAGGTCATAAATGGATTAAATCTAAATCTTCAAGAAGTAAGTCTATTGTATTAGTAGATACTTTATAAAATACAGCCATTCAGTACGTAACTGTTTCAGAATTACTTATATCTTTAGGCTTAAAGAAATCATTTACTTCTTTTGTAAAACGTTATATGAATCCAACTAAATTATATAAAAAGAGATATAAATTCTATTATACTTATAAATTTAAAGGTGAGATTACAGGCGACGGTTCTAAATAATAATTGAACTATTATTTTTATCTATTCATCTTAGCGATTAAATCAAGCATCTATGTATGCTGTTAGAGAAGGGTTATTTTATGGTCAATGCTCTGAAATTTAAAAAGCAAAGGTTTCCCTCTGATGTGAATCAGTTGAATTATATTGGGTGAATTTGCAAGAACCTCTTTATATTAGAATAATAATTTTGCTAATTTATAAAGCTTTAGCCTTTTATTCTATTATTATCCTTTTAAGAAAACTTGCAGCGAAGCCTTTTTCGGTATAAAAGAATTATGAAATAGGAACGTTCAACGACTAACAGGTGAGTAATACCAACAATAATCCTGACACGAGTGCCCAACAACTAATTAAATTTAGTTGAAGACATAGTCTAGTCAATAAAGTAATTTATTGGAAAATTCTTAAAAAGTTTTCATCATTTTTGCTTTTATATAAGTTCTATTATGGATAAAATCATCTAATTTAAGTACTAGCACAGAAAATTTTATTCCTTGGATCGATACCGAAAATATTAAAAAAGTAGGACTATGCTTAATGAGATGTATTATTATTTGACTGAGGATTCACCAATTAAAGTTTTTATTAAAAATAATTGTAGCCTTATTCTACAGAACTCAAAAGGTCATACTGGTTATTCAAAAGATTCTTTTGAGGCTGATAATTTTGTTTCCTATAATAATGTTAATTCTTTACCTATTTCTCATAGTAATAGTATCACTGAATCATTAAAAAAATAAGGCAGGGGTCTATACTATATTTAATCCTAATACTAAAAAATTTTACATTGGTGCTACTACAAATTTTACTATGCGACTAATGAACCATTATCATGGAGTAAGTTCTAATTCAAATCAATTACTATATCAAGAAGTAAAGAATTCAGGAGGTTTTCATAATTTTTTCTGGCAAGCCACTTCAGTCTCACCTAGTTACTATCTCGATTTTATTCGAGATAAATTGGAGCTATCTAAAGATTATTTAACTTATCGGATATTAACATCATTTACACAATATGAAACTCGTTTACTTGAACAAAGTTTAAAATCTTTTCTAGCACTAAATGGAGAAGGAGATATCACTTTACCTGTAAACTGGAAACCTAAAGATATTATAAATTCTTTACTAGGCTCTAGACCTTTAAGGCTATAACTAGAGAGGGCTTAATTTATGAATTTACTTTTCTTAACCATGGTAAAACCGTTTTAGGAATATCTAGAAAAACAATAGAGACTTTAATGAATTATCCTAATAATTTAACATATTGTTTAGGAGTAAATATGGAGTGTAGATTTTATGAAGAAGGTTATCCACTAAAGGAGAACTCTCCTTATAATAATCAGTCTTTACGACTAGATTTTTAAGGTATTGATTATAATTATTTACCATTAAATAAGATAGTGGCATTAGATAAATAATTAAAGGTAATTGCTTAATTTTATAATAGTAAACAAGCAACCGTTGAATGCGGATTAGGATCTTATTATCGTGTCTTTAGAGATATTAATAAAATTTTCCTTAAAGTAATATATGCAGGAGAAACAATGGAATTATTATTTGCACAAAATCCTTTAAGTAAAGGAAGTTCAAAAAAAGTAGTATTAGTTAATTTAAATACTAATACTTCATTACTTTTTCCATCTTTTAATGACCTGATCAGATATTTTGGTTTAAATCCTAAAACTCAAGGAGGTAATTCACTTCTGCGACAATGTCTTATTAAAGGAATGACCTTTAAGGAAAGCTACAAGTTATTTTATTTGTGGGACTATAAAGGTCCTAGTCCCATACCATATGATGAAGATAAAAGCTAAAAAGAATAATATCACGATGTGGAGTATATCATGGATCACAAAATGGCAAGGGTTCATGTTAAATTTAATTATATAGCTGGAACACCCTAATAACTTAAGATACTTAAAATTTTTAAAATAAAAAGATTAAGTAAAAAATCAAAAGATTGGGTAATCAGTAGGAAGTTTAATAATCCTTAGAGACTATATGTTAAAGATTATAAAAATCAAGAGATAGTCCATCAAACTTTATAAATTTGTTTAGATATGCTTATTTTTCATTTGATTTATATTCTTTCAAATTGTGTAATTTAAGTATAATTTTAATGAACGGTATAAATAAAAATGATAATATAATTGAGTTAAAAAATAAAATAACAAATTTTATTAATAATGATAATATTAATACTGCTAATAATACTAAATTAGAAACATATGTAAATTCAGTTATAAACATACCCTTAGAGTAATTTATATTAAAATATGACCCTTCTAAGAATCACTTTATAAAATCTGGATCATTATCAAAGTCTTCTTATAAATGGAGTTTTTTAAAGGAATTTAAATTAATACCAGGTATTATCAATTTGAATTAATAAAAGGGTTTGATTCATATATAGGATCTACAAAAGATCTATATAAAAGATGTTATACTCAACATAGAACACAAGCTTTTATTCATACTAATAAACATAAATTATTTTACAATAAGGTTATATTACATGGCTGGATATCCTTTAATCTAAAAATACTTTATTTTATTCCTAATCATGTTTATTTATTTGCAGAAAAAAATCCTAATTATATTATAAAATAAAAAGATTTATTAATATTGACCGATTTAATCTCTTACGAATTAACTATAGCTGAACTATTACAATTAGATTATAAGAAACCTAGTTTAAATAGTAGCCTATTTGCTAATTGGTCTTCATATAATATTGGTTATATTCGAAGTGATGAGTTGAATGATGAATTATCATTATTTTTTTTAATAGAAAAGAAATTTTTAAGATTATACTAAAGAATTACACAGAAAGAATAATACTGGAAAAATCTTAAGTGAAACCACAAAATATCTAAGGGAGCTGGTGGTATAGCTGTATACTTAGAAAATATAAATTTTAATAATGAGATAGTAGAATTTAAAACCAAAACATTATTATCTAAAGAACTTAATATTAGTATAAGAACTATTAATAGATGGTTAGATGATAACAAAGTTCATTCTACTAAGTCTATTAAATATCCTAAGGTAAAATTAATGTCATGCCTACTTGTGTAGAAAGTGTAAAAGCTGAAAATTATTTAATTTGGTTAGATTCAGAAAAATAATTTAAAATCTTAAATTTAAAAGAAATAATAATAAAAATATATAATTTAGATTATAAAAATTTAATCTTATTTTAAAATAATTATTATTGAAATTTTATATTTACTTATAAATTTAATTTATTAAAACCCCTTATTTGTGTTTTATTTTAAATTAGTTAAGTATAATAAAATTTTTATAAACACTTAATATAGGGGAAATATGATAATGGTAATCAGTTGTATTTGCATTACAAATATGAAAGTTCGATTCTTTCTTTCTCCAAGATTGCCTCCTAGTAAAAAAAAATATATATTAATTAATAAAGGTTTCGGTTGCTTAATGGTTAAAGCCCTGTTCTGAAGAAGCAGTGATGGTAGTTCAATTCTATCCCGAGACAGAAACTATTACTTAAATATTAATTTTATCCTAAGGGCAGATGACCGAATGGTAATGGTGGTTCTCTGTAAAAGAATTGATCTTTTGATCGAGAGAGGTTCGATTCCTTTTCTGCTCAAAATTATAAAAGGATCTAAGTAATAGAATAAAGACTGTAGCATAAATGGTTAATGCAGTTCGCTCATAATGGATATTATAAGGGTTCAAATCCCTTCGGTCTTAAAATTTAGTATTAATTAATAAAAGAGTAATAATATATTATAATTATTCTCTAATATAAAATAAAATGATAATTAAAATATATTAGTATTCTATAAAGCGAACATGATGGAATTGGTAAACATACTCTTCTTAAGCAGGAGTGGATTTAAGTCCTTAAGAGTTCGAGTCTCTTTGTTCGTATACACGAGTATAGTTAAGTGGTATAGCATCTACCTTCCAAGTAGAGATCATCAGTTCGAGTCTGATTACTCGTATATTTTTATTATATTCTAAATATATAGCGAGATAGTGTAACGGTAGCACCACAGTCTCATGATCTGTTAGTTTAGGTTCAATTCCTAATTTCGCTAATTTTATAAAATTTTATTCTAATATAAGGTCTTTTAGTTCAATGGTAAAATCACTGTCTTTCGTACAGTAGCTACCAGTTCGAATCTGGTAAAGATCATTAAACTTTTTATTTTTATTTTAAACTTTAAGATAAAAGGTAGATATTATAAAATACGTATGTTCTTTATATCTCTATTAAGATAAAAAGAAATAATATATTATTTAAATCTAAATAAATTTTTATAATTTACTAGCCGGAATAGTTTAATTGGTAAAACAGTTTCCTTGTAAGATTCAAAAGGTGGTTCAATTCCTCCTTTCGGCTAATAAAGTTTCAAGCCCATAATTTAATGGTAGAATGATTTCTTGATGAGGAATAAGTAGAAGTTCAATTCTTCTTGGGCTTAAAAAACAAAATTTTGTTTTTAACTATATCTTGGGCTTATAAGAAGAAGGTTAAAATTTTTTATTAATTTCTAGGGAAGCAGAACTCGAATGGTTGAGTGTCTCCCTTTTAAGGAGAAGGTTTCCGGTTCGAGCCCGGATGCTTTCACTTCTAAGAAAAAATTTTAGTTAGCTTAAATTGTGTAATGATGTTAGTAAGTATATTAATTTATATCCTTGCGATGTCGCTATCTAAAGAAAATCAGTTCAGTCCTATTTTTTTCAGTAGAATAGCAGCAATAGTTTTAATTTATGCCGGAGCATTAACGATAAATGCTTTATATGTTCAGTCAATTGGATTAGGGATAGGTATCTATTGTGGATTATTCCAAGTAAGTAATACAACTTTAATAATCGAAAGTTTTTTATATATTATAGGTTCTATAATATTATTAGGTTGGGGATTAATTTATAAAGTTAAAAATAATATTCATTTAGTTAATTTTAATAAGAATATGGAATTTAATATTTCTTCTGCCCCAAGCAAATTAGTAAATAACACTACAGTTTATGTAAATACTATTACTATTAGTAAAGAAGCTAGAGATTATTCATTAATTGCTTTATTTAGTATTTTAGGTAGTTCATATCTAATATCTAGTGCTGATTTATTAAGTATGTATTTAAGTATTGAATTACAATCTTTTGGATGTGCGCCGTATGAGGCATGTGTTATAAGAGGATTTAAATTAAATTTTATCCATTCGGTAATATTGGCCGTTTTATATTGAAACGTTACCGACCACGGGTTTTCACCTTATAATTGGCTAATAACTAATTATAACGGGATAGCTGAAAACAAATATGAAAACTTAGGTAGACTGCCATACCTAGAAGTGATCATAAGTGGTTGTAGTCATGGTCAGGATAACAAATCTGAAACGTATATAGGGGCCCAAGATAGCCTATGTATCTCAAGCAGAATATCGCGGTACATATTTGGTAAATTAAAAGCTTTTGATAGTAGTCCAAATATCAAAGGTAGCCAAGAAGCCATACCTTACTTCAATAAGAAAACAAAATATGCGCAGAGACCTAAAACTACATTTCGCACTAGCGTTAATGTTAACACATTGCAACTACGGGATCTAACCGCCTCTAAACTTAATCAAATAACTTTATTGCGGGGACGGAGTCTCCATACTAGCGAGGAAAACTCTGCAAAGGGAGACAGCCAAAAATCGTTATCTCTAATTTCTACCATCTCTGACATTAAAGATACTGACAACCTCAACCCCTTAAAAAAGGACAGCAAGTCAACAATATCTATCAGTATGAGAGCAAATTCAGAAATAAACAAATATATGAGAAAAGACCAAAAATATAATGGTCTAATAAACATTATCGCCGATCCAATATTTCTTTGAGCTTGCTATGATTCAATAAAAAGCAAACCAGGTAATATGACTCGAGGAATAACTTCTGAAACTTTAGATGGAATTAAGGAAAAATGGTTCCAAAAAATATCCCTAGATATTAAATCGGGAAAATTTATATTTAAACCAGCTAGAAGAGTTATGATACCTAAACCAGGTAAATCTGAAAACAGACCCCTTGGGATAGGGAATCCTAGAGAGAAAATAATCCAAAAAGCTATTTCGGTTATATTAGAAACCATTTGGGAAAAGGAATTCTTAGAAAGTTCTTATGGGTTTAGACCAGGTAAAAGTTTACATCAAGCCCTCTATAAAATACATAGAAATGGATCTAATTTTCAATGGGTAATACAAGGTGATATTTCTAAATGTTTTGACTCAATTCCACATAAAATAATTAAAGAATTAATAGAAAAGAAAATACAATGTCAGAAAACATTACAACTAATAAATAAATCCCTTTCAGCTGGTTTCATAGATCCAGAAACAAATGTACTCTCAAAACCTAAAATAGGAACTCCCCAAGGAAGTATCCTTAGTCCAATACTCTCTAATATTGTATTACATGAATTAGACTTATTTATGGAAAAAGTTTCGAACAAATTCAACCAAGGTAAAACTAGAGCAAGAAATCCAAAATACAATTCAATCCAAAGCAAAATCCAATGGCTTACAAAATCCAAAGCAAACTCCTCCGAAATAAAAGAACTTATAAAACAACGTAGAAAACTAGCAAGTACTATGTCAATAGATCCTAATTTTAAAAGATTAATGTATATAAGATACGCTGACGATTTTGTAGTTCTATTAACCGGTACAAAAAACGATGCCAAACTTATCAAAAATTGAATAAAAAGTATTTTGATAAAAAAATGTGGACTATCTTTAAACGAAGAAAAAACAATTATATCAAATACTAAAGAGGGATTTAAGTTTCTTGGAGCGGAATGTATAAAACCTAACTCCTTAAGAAGTGGATACTTTGTTAAAACAAAATTAGGAACTCGTGGGAGATATCGAATGAGAATGAGAATTTTGGCTCCTATAAAAGAACTTATTAGTAAACTTAAAACTAATAAATTTATTATTAATAATATCAAAGGACTAACAGTCCCTACTGCCCGAAAAGACCTCGTAAATCTATCTCATTACGAAATCCTTAACTTCTATAATCATAGGATTAAAGGTATATTAATTTTCTTCAGTTTTGCAGGAAATTATAGTAAACTTTCCAGTGTTCTATATCTACTAAAACTCTCTTGCGCACTAACATTGGCCTTAAAATATAAATTGAGAACCAAAAGGGCAACCTTCAAAAAATTCGGAAATAAACTAACCGATCCTGAAACTACCCTTGGCCTTAATTATCCATACTCTTTAAAAGTTAAACATGAATACGCTGGATTTAAAAATAAGGTATCAGAAAAAGAAATTCTTCCAGACAAAATACTAAATGCATCCTGATTCGCAAAATGAACAAAATCAAATTTTGGTAAAAGCTGCATATTATGTGGATCCACAACAGACTTGCAAATGCACCATATTAAACACACCAAAGATGTGAAAACAAAAATCCGAACAGGAAATAGTACATATGCTACTTGGTCCGGAACCTTCATTAGAAAGCAAATACCACTTTGTGGATATCACCATTCACTTTATCACAATAAAGGATTAACAGCAGCCGACCTAGCGATAATTAGGAAATCTAAATAATTTAAAACTATAGTTCATTTCTCATTATTTGGAAGAATTTTGGTGGCAAGCCGTATGATGGGAAACTATCACGTACGGTTTTGAGGGCAGAGTAACCAATCTTCTGACCCCTACTATATATTTTAGCTAGTACTTATAGAGAATCAAGTCAAGCTACTAGTGCAGGTTTAAAATATTTTTTATTAGGTGCTTTGAGAGGTAGGATCTCTCTAATGTGCCTAAAACTATCAAACTCCGGGGACTCCTTAAAGCTTATGGTACCAAACTATATTCGAAAGAATATAAGTGGATGGAGTAATTACCCATGTATGGTAACAAGCCAGAGGATGATGGAAACTGAAATAGGATATCGCGGATCTAAGTCAGAATTGCTAAATTCTGTAAAAGAGCAACGAGTAGACGGTAGTTATTGCATTAAATCTAAATTTATGCAATTAAGGTGTACTCTAAAGGGTTTCGAAAGAAATTATCAAATCAGAATCCTTTCTAAGCCAGGGCTATGGCTCATTGGGACAATGAGCAAAGTGTTGCCACAAATGAAAAGTTTACAAAGATTTTTCTACACTGCAGTTTCGAATTTTCAAACAAAACCTAATAGGGGACTAGCTATTAATCCCTTATGGCTAACTGGTTTTACGGATGCTGAGGGTACATTCGGTATTATGATTCCAAAATCTCCTAAGTTTCGATTAGGTTGATCTATTCAACCTGTTTTTCGAATTACATTGCATCGTCGTGATGAAGAGCTATTAAAAGAAATAAAAGCTAATTTTAACAACGTAGGCTCTTCTGTAGGTAAAGTTAGTGATAGGGACGAATGTTATTATTCGATAAATTCATTAAACCATATCATCGAAGTAGTAATCCCTCATTTTTATCAATATCCTTTATTAACACAAAAGAAAGCTGATTATCTTCTATTTAAAGAGGTAGCTATGATGATGCAGCGGGGAGAACATTTGACTCTGGAAGGTCTAAAAAAAATAATTGCAATAAAAGGATCAATAAATAAGGGGAGTTTGTCTAAGGAATTAACAACAGCCTTTCCGAATATAACACCAATAGCTAAGCCTTCTATTACCATAACTGGTTCTTTAGTTACAGGATGCGCAGCATCAGAAGGAAAATTTGAATATACGCATTGGTTAGCGGGATTTTGTTCAGGTGAATGTTCTTTCATAGTAAAAATACTCAAATCTTCTACCCACCGTCAGGGGTTTCAAGTAACATTACGGTTTTCACTAACTCAACATTCTCGTGACGAACAATTAATGGTAAGCTTAATGAAATATTTCGATTGTGGCCATCTTTTTAAAAAAAAAGAGAGTAATTTAGAGTTACAAGTACAGAAGTTTTCAGATCTTACCGAAAAAATTATACCATTTTTTTCAAAATATCCCATCCTTGGCGTAAAATCACAAGATTTTCAGGATTGATGTAGAGTAGCTGAGATAATTAAATCCAAGAACCATTTAACTGCTGAGGGGCTAAATCAAATTCGTAAAATTAAAGCCGGAATGAATAAAGGTAGACAATAAAGCTTACTCTAAAAAATACCACACCTTGTAGTTAATATTCTTACGACGGTTCACCTAAAGCTTTAATAATTTCTGGTAGTTTAATATGTTCTATGATAAGATTCCCTCCCTTTGGCTTGCGGAGCTAGGGTAGGTAGTACTTCAGCAGCTCCTTCCCTTAATAAGAATAGAGCATTTTATTATTATAGGGTGGAGAGGGTAACAGGTTTTATTGATGGTGAAGGTTCTTTTCATATTAGTATTTATAATAATAAGAATAAAGTCGGTTGAGCGGTAAAACCTGAATTTTAAATTATGTAGCATGCAAAGGATAAAGTTTTAATGGAAGAAATTCAAAACTATTTTCAAGTAGGTAACATATTTATAAATTCAAAAGGAGGTATTAGTTTTCGTATTCAATCACCTAAGGATTTAGCAAAAATTGTTGATCATTTAGAGTTAAACCCTTTAAAAACTCAAAAATTTTCCGACTACTTACT